ATATATATATATGATGAAACAATGTTTTTCGTCATACTGTATATAATCATATAGCAATTAATTTGCTAAATTATTAAGATTCCTAACATGTTTTCTTACATGTGGAGAATAAGATCAGTAGACCAGGGCATATCTTCATAGTACTTCATTAGAATGCTGTTTTGTCACATTTTAACAAAAATCATATTTTATTATATGTTTATTTGAAAGGTTGCCTCTTTTGTTTAGTTTCTAAGTTAAAGGACAAAAATATAAGTGAGTGCCTTTTATTTGTAGTGTATAATTCCATGTGGTGATTTTATATAAACTATAAATGTACTTTATTTACAGAAAATGTGGTATATGGTGATGAGATTTTGGTCCCATCACGCAACCATACTTCTATACAGAACAGTGCACGTGTATGCTTTAAAACGGAACAAGTAGTTACTTTTGATTTGGTTGCTGTCTACTGTTAGATCAGTCTATAAACAGCTAACTCTCAGTCAGTTATAGTGGAATCAAACCCTTTCATTTGTTATTTTGGTGTCAATCTTCTATTCTGTTTAGACCTTCGTCCTGGATTGTGCCGACTACTATTTTATCTATCTGAAAAGCTATTAAAGAAATCATACACAAGATATTCTTACCAGTGCCATCCCAACACTTTCTCTGCTCTGCCAGCCTATGCAGACGAGACTTCATGCCAGCAGCAGATGGAGCTGGATCTTCCACCAGGTCCTCCTTGTTCCTCTGCGGGGCTGAACTGACAGGACCCATTTCTGCTTCTGTGCTGCTGGGAGGATCAGGGGCAGGGGTGACGGCCATCCTCTCTGGCTGTGGTTGTGCAGCTTTCAGCTGCCCTGGCTGAGACTGGACCGCAGGCCGGGCAGCAGTCTTCTCCAGGGATGAGGAAGGACGGACGCTGGCGGGGCCAACGGGTGGTTTCTTGTCTGTTATGGGATCGGGGGGCGTGGGGGCCACGGGTCGCATCGACATCGGCTCCTGGTTCTCCTCGCCGGCTGCAGGCTGAACATTTTCCCCTGAGCGACTGCGCTTGGAAGGAGAAGGCCTGGTGGAGCCCTGTGGAACTGGGAGGAGGTGATGGGGAAATGTGAGCAAAGAGTAGAGCTGCAATGCGGTGGTCCAACTGACAGCAGAGTGTTCATACCTTTATCAATGACTGGCTCACTGAGCACACTATTAGTGTCAGCCAGTGGCTCTCTGGGCCTTTTCACCATCGGCCTGTTGGCTGCATTTGGCCTCTCTGCCATTTTCTTCTGCAGGTTTTCTCTGCGAGCCCGGGTCCGCTCCAACAGTTTCTGGTTGGACAGGGGGAAAAAGTTACTCTATGGCTGCTTTATACATGCAGAGGCTGGACAGACTAGTATGATCACCTGTACAATTATTTATTGTATCATACAACAACCACACACATTAAAGCCTCAAACCAAAGAACTGACGATCTTAATGTTATATTAGAAGTTGCTCAGGAGGTACTATCTGTGGCAGGACTACTGTATTGGATTACATACTTTTTAAGAGGTGTTTTTATTACGTCCCTGTAGGTTTGATAGGGTTTTATTGATACCCATAATGCTTATCGATACTACTTTGGTGCAAAACATAAAAGACATGACATGAAAAGATGAAACAGTTATTTTATGATTTAATATTAGTTGTTTCCCGAATTACTGATTTAACTGCATTTTCACTATTAGAATTAGAATTTAGTCAAGTGATCCCACACTTCTGAATGTTTTCTCCTGTTAGCTGTTTATAAACATAAAAGCAACTATCTGGGCTTTTAGGGGGAGTCACATGATGAAACTATTTCTTTGCAAACAGCTAGGTGCACTGACCATGCCTACAAAGCTTAGTGAGCAGTATGCTTCTTCAGAAGTCCTTGTCAGATGATCATCAGTTTCAGAAACCCCCTCCTCCCACACCTTTCCACCGTGGGATTAGGATTCTTTACTCATTCTCTACAACTAATTTCGTCACTTCTCGTTTGAACAAACAGGTGCAACAATATGAAAATATTCACTATTATTATCCCCATATTTCAACGATATCACAGCAACCCCAACGGCCAGCTTTTCACCCTGCGATCAGTGTGACCATTCAGAAAAACTACAAACAGTAAAGTGGTCAGAAACGCGCTGTATGAACCAGTTCTGAACGAGCATGACTCGACCTTTAGGCTGATCGCTCCCAGCTTAACTCCATACTTATTGCACAAAAACACAAACTCTTACAACAAAAATTACCCAAATAGTAGCCCTATTTATTTATTTATTAATAAAACACACATTACAGATCCACAAAGAACCTGACATGCTATGGATGTTGCAGGTTTAAAATCAATTGACATAGATCATTTTATTGCTCTAAATTAGGGCTGCGCTTACTTTCATTATTGATTAATCTGTCAATCATTTTTTCAATTGCTGAATTAGCTGTTTGGCCCAAAAAATGGGCATCAAATTACTTGCTTAATAGATTTTCAAAATAGTTGGTGATAAAGTTAATGGTTGACAAATATTCGACTGACCAATCATTACAGGCCTACTCTAACTTTACACACCAGTCCCTTTATTTGAATGTATTTCTTGGTTGTTGATGTCAGTATTTATTCAGGTTACCTGAAACCCAAAAGTAAACTACTTTTTTCTTCTTCATTAACGAGAACATCTTCCCTTCTTGTGGTGGCTGGGAGAGAGAGAGAGAAACCTCACAGCAGCTGCTGTGAGGGGGGAATGACAAACACCCTCAATGAGATGGAGACTTTTTACAGCTTCTAACTGTACGCATGTTCTGCCTCTGCAGCATAGTTCATGACTTCCCTCTGTAAATGTGTCTAGGCTATAGAGCTGTAAGGGTTGTGAGACACGTTTTAAGAAAAAAAAAATCCAAATTCTGTGATTTCAGCTTGTCAAATGTGAATATTTTCTGGTTTCTTTAGCCCTCTATAACCTTGAAATTAATACGTTATAAAGATATTAATTGATATCTTTGGGTTGTGACCAAAACGGAAAATTTGAGGATGTCACTTTAAGCTTTTTATTAACATTTTCAATATTTTCTGGACCCTTTTTTTTTTTTTTAAAAGACCAAACAACTAATCAAGTGATTGAGAAAATAACTGACCGATTATTCAATACTGAAAATAATCTTTAGTTGCAGCCCTACTACACAGTGAAAGAATCTGAGACTCGGGCCTATTTAGAATTACTCTCATTGCTTTGGGTAATTACTCTGTGGCTTTTTCAAAAAGGCAAAAATATGCCAATCCTCCATTTTCCAGCCAGGACTACTGCTGAACAAGAGCAAATATGTGGAAGGAGGCACAGCATAGTCTGTATGTTGGCTACTTTAACAAGGAACATAAGACACACAAAACAGTCCTTCTCCACCAGAGATAAAAAGGCCTCTGTTTGCTTGCCCTCTTTCTCTTCCTCTTTTCTTTAGATGATGACATTTCCCTCCCTTTGCCTCACACAATCTGATTTACTGTGCTGTACGTTAACTGTGCAAGCCCTAACACATTCCTGCAGCTGCACTGCACGCCTTCTCCAGGCACTGTGGAAAACCTGAAGTCACATTTAGCAGCATTCCTCAACAATGAGCCACTCCTGCTTGTGGTTCCTGGGTTTGAAATTTCAAACTGTGCTGGCCCAGATAACGGAGTAACAAGAAATGTTATTAGATATTAATCATTTCTAGTTTTAGCTGGTAACAACAGTCAAAGCAAAGAGAAAAATCAAGTAAAGAGAGTGCCAAGTGTTGGACAAATTCCAGCCCTGACACATTCCATTGCCTTAAATGGAGACAAAGCTGTGACATTTGAATAACGTTAGGTTATTGTGGTGTGTTTTGGTACATGAGTATGGCTGTTATAATACTGTACAAGGAGCTGCTCAGTCAGCAGCCAGGATCAATTATAACATGTAGAAAACTAGATGACATATCCAGCCGTTAGAGGACTCTGGAACCTGTTAGTTAGCTATTATTATTATTATTATTATTATTAGTTGTTATTTGTATTTTACATTTTGCTCTTTCCGAAGATTGACAAGACAAAGAAACAGCACGTGAGATGTTTCCATTGGCCCTGTTTGAATGTATTAACGTTATATATTTATGTCTGGTAACGTCAGTTTACGTTAAAGTAATACGGAAATAAAGAAGTTGACCCACTAATGTATCTAACATGTGTTTAACAACGTTATAAAAATACTAACTGTAACGTTAGGTAGCTTAGCATTAGCAGGTAACGTTAACGCCACTTTCGACTCGACCTTTCGATAGCTAACATAACGTTAACTTACATATGTGGCGATAGAACTAACGTTAGTTGAGTTAGCTCACCGACTCACCTCAGTAAATGGATCCATTTTTGACAGCTTGTCCCTTGGTATCAACTTGGTATTTTAAAAGCCGTGTACGCAAACAGGACGTAGTGAGGCGAGCTGAGCGACTCTCAGCTTCTCTTCTCTTCTCGGCTCCTCTCTTCTCTCTGTGCACAAAACAACTGCTGTTCAAATTTGAATTTCAGCGCTGCGCCTACTGCGCAGACTCCAACAGTTGAACGGAACGCTTGAAAACCAATCATAATCAAGAAGCCGCGCTGGGCCAATCACAGCCCGGGTAAGTAGAAAACGAGCTGTCACAACGAAGGCACACCCAGACCGCACACCACCGCCACCACAGTACACACATCCCTCCACCGTGGCATTTTTCATCAATCACTCATCTGTGTATTCACAAAAAGCGGTTCACAAAAAGCGGTTAAAACATACGCCCACTGATGCACAGGAGTCTCCTTTCATTACAGCAATGTAACCGTGCGTTTTTCATTCTTAATTCAGATTGGTTGCTTTTTAATTATATATGATTAAACATCTTCACCATTTAACTGAAACCCTACATACAATATAGTGACTCAAAATCAATTTAAACATTTTTATTAAGTCATTTTATTTCACTGCTTACAAAGATTACTTGAAGGGAGCATACAATATCATTCATTACTAAAAACCCAAATAAAATACCCTTTTTAGCACTCACAAACTTAACTCCCAGGCTGCTCTAGATTAGTTATCAGTTAACCTATAGCGTTGCCTCAGCAGCCTGATTTATTATTGGTACTATTATTTTAGTTTAAAACTGGTCCAGATGGAGAGGTAATGCTGATCTCCCCTAGTAAGAGAAAGTGGGCAATATACTCACAGACTCGAACCGCATCAATAATTGAAACATTTTAACACAACCGATGCCTCTTTCCAACCCTAGTAAAGTACACAACAACCTACAACCTCATTTTCATCAAAACAAACCGGCCCCTGCGCTGCTCGAATAACACTGATCTTTATGTACAGTGCGCAGGGACCGTCAACAAATTTCAATAACGAAAAGAGATAGCACAAAAGATAATCAATAACACATCATTGGCCCCCTCCTGGTGATACTACAACTGCTATTTTCACAATAAACAACTCAATTTTGTGGAGTGTTATTGTGGTTACGCTTCAAATTAAATAAAGTTTATTTATATAGCATATTTAAAAGATACAGACTTGACCAACGTGCTGCAGAAATAAACGTGTGTAGCACATCTGTAAAAAAAGGCATGGCAACTCAATGATCACCCCATGGTGACCTCACTGACTTTGATGTCACCATCCAATCAGGAGCAACTGTCAATTAAGCTCCACCTGCAGTGATGAGATTTAGTCTTTACTGCAGAACCATGATGATGGGGAATGACATCGTTTTGCCTTTCGATTACTTTGCTATTTTCTGCCTTCGGATAGCTTTGCCAGTTTACCACCACAATCTCTCCTTGGTTATATGTAAGTAATCTTTTATCTTTATTTGTCTTTTCATTGTAGTGATTATCATAGTTTGTAGAACTATGCCTATATAGCTGTTCAGAAATTGAAATTTGAACTTCAGGTTGTGCATAATTAATAAATACAATGTTTGTCAATTTAAGACCCAAACAAATGTATTATTCTATAAATAGCATACAAAAAGAAAGACACATGAAGTGCTCCAGTCTTTAACCATGTGTTGAAATATCACTGAAATAATAAATTAGGGACATTAAAAAGGTATGGATATAGATAATAGCCTTCATACAGCTCAACTTTTACCCCAGGTGAAAACCTGGTACCCTAACCACATGTAAAACATATGGGCAGTGGTGGGGGGAAAAGAAACTGTGGTCAGAGCATTTACAAGTTTTAACATAACAAACAGAGATACAGCTTATTCTTCCCAGAACTATCTGAACTATCTGTACACTTATTTGCTCAAGATATGAGGAAAAATCGTTATTGGCTGTGGGTCATATGGACCAAGAATCGTAATGGAGTGAAGGATCTTATTATAAATCAGGAAATAAATAATGAGGATGAAAGACATAATACAGAAGCCTGTGAAGACAGTGGAACAGAGGATCTGCCTCTAAATTTGACTCAGAATATTAAAGTAGTGTCAGATGAGGAAACAGAAGACAAGGAAGGCAAAGAAGAACAGGAGAAAATGACATTGCAGAGTG